CAGCGTACCAACGACCGTTGAAAATAATTCAAATTCAAAAAATTCATGCTACTTTGATCGGCGTTGTTGGCGCACAAAGTTCTGCTGTGAGCATGTTGGATAGGAATAACTCTCGTGCTTGTCACATATCAGCACTCGGGGTGCCCGGCCCAAAGTTGCGACCCATACAACAGCAGCAGCGAGGGTGTCAGGGTGCTGTTGCGCGCGGACACATGAAGGGTGCGGACGCCACCGAACAGCACAAATCCACGACCCTGGAAGCCCCTGGCGTTGAAATCACTCTGACACCTACTCCCCTAGTACTGCCTCCATGTCTCCCACCCACCTGCAGCCAAGAGATCCAGCTTCTGGCCCACGGACGGCGTTCAGGACGTTCTCTCCAGCGGACCAAGATGGAGCGGTGCACCCGACAACGGAAGATACCACACCCCCGCACGGAGCTTCACGCCAAAGTTACTACCTCGTAGAGTTGCTCGAATCGCACGATACTCGGAGGGTGTGCTTATTGGGGTGTTAGGTGCCGAAAACACCCTGGTAAAAATTCGGATCAGCACTACAGCGGGAGCTATTGCAAGGTTTCTGTCAAACCCTATGGCTAAGCGTGTTTTGGGGGCGCGCAGATGGGGAGTTTTTTGGTCGGAAAAAACGAAGAAAGCAGCCATACGGGGCCCCCAGCAACGCCTGTGTACCGATATCGATATATATCGGACGATATATATCGTGTACATCGTTCCGATTCACAACTCTAAAAATGTAGATTTACCTACAGATGTTTTTGTACTTAGCACCAGCTGGCATCACTGATAAAACCATCAGTGTATAGACTTATAAAGACTCGAAATAAGTCCAGTACCCAGCCGGTTTTCCTCCACTTACTGCTGTGACTCCACCACATCCCGTTCGACTGTGGGTATATCTCGAATGGGTAGTCTTTCTGTGCATGTATTTATTTCTCCTTTGATTCACCTGAATGAAAATAAATGCAGTAGTACCAAACGAAACAGAACAATAACAGCAACAACAAATAAGAAAGCGCCTCGAATAAGATATATCGGACTCATATCCAAGACACCACAAACACACACCACGGGCAAAAAACGGCGTAGTCGCGTACTCCCGTACTACTACTCTCCGCGCCCTCTATTGTACCATGGTACTTGATTGGGAAGGGCAGCTGCGGCAATGCGATCGCTGAAGCTCGACTCCTGCCTCTCCGGTCCATACACGCACGCAGAATAGAAAATGCTCGCTCCATGAAGGCAGAGGATGGCTGGATCAGGTATGTGCGGTGTGTCCTGTGTTCCTGTGGTCTTGGTCTTCGGTCTTCGGTCGTTGCGTCTTTTCTCTACTCTCTTCTTGTACAAAAGTCAAGTAGTTTGAATCAACAGTCATCAAGGTNGATCAGGTATGTGCGGTGTGTCCTGTGTTCCTGTGGTCTTGGTCTTCGGTCTTCGGTCGTTGCGTCTTTTCTCTACTCTCTTCTTGTACAAAAGTCAAGTAGTTTGAATCAACAGTCATCAAGGTCGGTTTAAACAACGAATGTTTTTTATTAGCACCGAATCTCCAATCTCCAGATCTACAATTTGTTGTCTGATCTGCTGATCTGTGAACTTGAAACTAAAGAGTTAACAGACCAAGAGGCTTTGAAGGGGATAAAAAAGCTCTGTTTTGGTTACAATGAGCTGTCTGAGTGTCTGAGCCACCCCTTACCCCCATCTCACTCGTGCATTATCACCGCTATGCACGACAACCCCTGTTATGCACACTTTTATGCATAAAAAAATGTATATATAAACGCTCCAACTTATGCTTTTGCTTATGCACGAAAAGCCCAGTTATGCACAACATACATAAGCATGCATAACAGGCCAGGGCCTACCCGCTGTGCCCTTTTGGTTCCGTCTTTCTAGTGAGGTCGTGGAGCGCACGCCAGACCCGGCCCCGCCCGAATGTCTGTGTAGATAACCTAACTAGGAGGTGACGGTGGTGTGTAGCTTCTGCCTTTTGGCGACAGAGCATAAGTCACCACGAAAGGGACGTCCACGACTTGCTGCTGCATCAGGCAGCAGGGCAGAGGCGGGATCTTCCCTCTGCTGGCGACCAACCCGTACCCCGCAACAAGCCAGGGCAGCAGCGAGCCAGCAGCACGCCATGGAGGAATCAACGCTCCCGACCAAGTTCAAGCACTCTCTAGCAGTGCAGGATGCTGCTATCCTCGTGCTAGAGGCCATGGAAGGTAACCATGATCAAGTGTTCTGTTTTCATCTCTTATGTGTTTTGTTTCTGCCACACTATGCTACAGCTGTAGAAGGTACCCACATAAGGGCATCTCGACAATACAAGCTGGTCTGACCAAGAAGCTAACTTCCGTTCTTTCATGTCCCACTCTGCTGTTTCTACGAATTTAGACTTCAAATTTGGCGGCTGCTCTTATTAGACCATAGGGGAAGCGCAGGTGCCGGAATTTTTCGGATCTGAGTTGATTTAGGTAACTATCAATTGGCGGCATGGTGGGGGATACTTCCTGTCCTGAAATCAGCATAAAATAATTTCTCTGATGAAGCTGAAAATTGCTGTTAAGTACCATGTACCTGGGAACATCGCGAGAGGATAGTAGTTTCAAGGCTAACGGCATCTTCCATCAGAAGTTATGGCCTCGTATAGAATCCGACACAACACGCGAGATACCTAAGGGAATGTGAGGATCTCGCGATTCCCACGCGGTTTTCTCGAATAAGAAGCTAATGTTTGTCGCGGCATCCTCATGAGCACAACAGCAGTATATGCCACGCGCCATTTGACTTTTTTTTTTTCGGCGACTTTTTCGCATAGCAACAAATATTCCCATGAATACTAGTTATCAGCCTAACTCACGATAAATTAATAAAACAAAATCCAAATGGCGCAGTGGCTTTTTCATTTGTTGTACTCATGCAGATGCCGTGTCAAAATTTCAGGTTCTAATTCGAGAAAACCGCGTGGGAAATCCGCTCCAACCTTCAATTCGCTTCTTGGTCAGACCAGCTTGTACGCACTTAACAGCAGTAAAAACTGCTGTCAGCTGTTGTTGTTCTTGTGGTACCGCTCTCTTGGCCAGAGACTACTGAGTGTGCAATGTACTTGAAGTACATAGACTAACGGACTGCATGCACGTGTACAAACCGTGAAGACTCGACGTCTACTGCTGTGGTGAGCGTGTGGAGCATATACTATATATAAAAAATACTGTAGACTACCTGAGACTATGTTGCGTCGAGACAATTGCGAGTTTGTTGCCCTCTGCAACCCGCGAGGACGATAGCTCGCCTTGCTGGTCTTGTTTGGGTTTGGTTTTGTTCTCCAGTCGAGGTAAGGCCGGTCGAAGTACGAAGCACACCCCGTACCCTTTTTCGCTCCTTCTATGCGCACGTTGCTGTTGTTGGTCTTCGATCTATGCTCAGCATGTGCACCTGAAAACTCTACTTTAGGAAGTACATACAGTTCTATCAAGTGGGTCGTTTTTTTGGGGTGGTTTGAAAAAAAAAGAAGCGTTGCCCATCGAAAAAAAAAAAAACACCACTGTAAAGCTCTCGCAAGGGGCGTTCGAATGAGCCATAGTTTTTCGCGGGGTTCGCGCTGCGAGAAAAGTTATGGCCCTATTACCATCGCTGTGAAGTATACTTCACGCCACTAAAACCCACATATCTCAGCAACCACGCCGAACCCCGCGCAAAATTTTGCAGCTATCGAAAGCTCTCGTCCACGCCTTTTTTTTCGCGGTGGAACCATCCCCGAACCGGCGGGCAAAGTCCCGCAAAAATTCAAAACCTCATATTCAAATTTTTGCGGACACAACGGCCGACACAACAAGCCCCAGGTTGCACAAACAAAAACGTGTACCACGCAAGGTTATGTCGTCCACGTTCAGCGATGAGACATGGCGTTACTTCAGGGAGAAGTGTGTATCGCTTCTGGGAGACGGGAGTGTTGTCAGCGCGGGCCTAGACAACAAGAGCAAATCGTATCGCATACATCTTGTCGCGGACCTCCCTGAGGGCATTAGGAAGGAGTGGAGGAGCACCCCGATCAAACGCCCAAAGGGCCGCAAGACGGGTCGCGACCGGGGTGCCGAGCACAAGTTCGTGGCACAAAGCGTGACGTTCACGGCTCAAGCGTGGCGAGTCCTGATCGATCTAAGCACGAAGAGGACGAAGAATGAAGAATCGCTGCTAACGGTGGCGTCCTCACGCCGAAGAAGTGGATCGACTTTCCCGACCCCCCCTACAGAAACACGTCATATATCTGTCAGGAGAGCTCAAAAAAAAAAATGAAGTATTCTACGCTTCTTAACAGGGCATATCCCGCGCTAAAACCCCTCGGTACATGGAGTCCGTCGTGGCTGAAATGCCAGATTTGAAATTCCATCCCCCCCCAAAAAAAAAACCTGAAAATCCTATATGAAAACCACGAATTTTCAGAAAGGCCTCAAATCGATTTGGTCCTCGAACAACTATTGTGGGGATCATCATGTACATCACTGTTTCGAAAACGATTTTTTTTTTTTTAATATTGATGAAGTTATGGCCGGTCAAAGATATGACGTCACACACTTGAGGAAGTTACGGCCGGTCAAAGATATGACGTCACACACTTGATAGAACTGTACCGCGCTTTTTGCGCGAGGCCTCACGTGGCTGCTCCAAACCGAGCACCTTCACAGTAGCCAAGTTCGTTTCTCGACCAAGCATATCTGTTCGCTTCTTATTGTGGTTGTGACGACTGGCCCATACTTCTACATGACAGCGTTCTCACTCCATATTTTCTTTGAGATATCGGCTGCAGATTGTACTTGTACAGCGTGGATGCGTTTCACCGGTCAAATAACCGCCGCAGAAATAACACATCAGAAGTGTAGCCGCAGAAATAACATATGAGGAATGTAGTAGTGAAGTCTAGGATGCGTCACCAGAAAAAAGACTAAAGCGGTAAAGCAGTTTTTTTTTGTGCCAGTATTATACTTCGTGTTGTTTATGGTAAGAAGTTTAATTTGCATGGCTTGCGTTCGCACCAGAGGTACAATAGCCCCTAACCTGGATGTTAGAGGACGACCGGCTTCGCCAAATACTTCGAAGTAGCAAGCCGTCCACTATCTCCGCCGTCAGCCTTACCCACAAGGACCACGGCGGTACGCCGATTAGTACAACTAGCGGTAGAAACCCACGACATCATGGAGTAATCGTCAACTTGCTTGGTTCACACGTTCACACGGGTGACAGGGAGCAATGTGCCCCTCCTCCGATCTCTTGCTAGCTACAGCTCCGGTGGCGGCACCTTCCACTTTCGACTTGAGCCAACCCGACGATATTTTCTCCATGCTGTACAATTTTTACTGTAGATTCCTGTCGCATGTACTCTGGTCTTGTTCGGGCTCAAGGCAGTCGTGGCGGGTTTCCCTACGGAGTGATAGCCCACGAAACCAACCGATGCCCGGCCTTTCGATTTCTCCACGCGGAAGCCGTAAGCTGTAAGAACAACGGGTATAGACGCTTCAATACGGAAACCGTCCGTGGTCTCCATGCCGTTGATCTGGTCATGCGGGCCCATGCTGTCGTCTTCATGCTGAAGGTCCAAGCTCGTCGTATGGCCATAGATAAAGAGGCATCGCAATCCACGCAGAGATTTGTCAATGCCGCACCCCAACAGACGCTGATCGATACCAGGCCTGCTTGAACGCCACAACACACCACCAACAAGAACTGCAACACAAAGGCGATGGTGAAAACAAGAATTGCTGACATCGTCGTCGCTGGAAACGGCGTCTTCCACGGCTTCCTCGTTGTTGTTTGCCTGGCCCCCACCTCCCAAGCCCGTTCCCCCGCCCGCAAAATCCTGGCCATCGTCCCCCCCGGACCCATCGCCACCTACGTCAGAAGCTCGCGCTTGTCTCAGCATTTCGCGCCCATGGCGGGATATGGGCCGTAAAAACCCTCCAAGAAAGTGATTTATGCCCCCGCCTCAACATTCCACGGCTATCGCAATCAAACGATTCGAAAGGCGACACTTTTACAAGCTTGGCGACTGTCGACAGTTTCCATTACTGTGGACAGTTCCCACTACTGTCAGCACCCATTGCGTGATCAACGCACACTGGCCAGACAATGTCATGGCGTTGCTTTTCTGCCTACCGACGTTGTCCGACTGCCCGAGCCTAACTTCCGGTCGCTTCCCAACCTCAAACCACCTCAACCTTAGCATTTCGGAGCAACCTCGGGGGTTAGGACATGGCACCACCGGGTGTCACATAGCTCGTAGGGATCCCAACCAACCTAGAAAAGAACGGGGCATTCTTATTGCCGCAGTGGTACACCCCGCAACTCGGAACCGATCACGTGTCAATATGACGCAATCTTATACCTCAGGAGTATTTGGTGTTTTTGGCTAAAGTTGCCGCAATAGCAATACTGCAACTGCCAAGTTCGTGAGGTGATGGCAACTGTTCTGTGATTGGTCGAGATCGATCTAGCCTACATGCGGAAGAGGGAAGGCGACAACTAGATTTGGAGAAGGATAAAGATCGCAAGCACCGCTGTCTCTGTCTTCGTCTCTGTCTCTGTCTCTGTCTCTGTCTCCGTCTCTGTCTGTCTGTCTGTCTGTCTCTCACTCTTTCTCTCCTCTCATGTTGGAAACCTTGCCGGTAACAATGCTATTTTCTTCTCCGACGTTGTTTTGGTGTTGCTCCGTATTAGCTCTGACACAGGTGTCCTTTCCATTGTTTTCGCTGTTCCATCCAGGCATCTATCGGGCCAAGCCGCTGCCGACCGTCCTCTCGCGGCGCTGCCACCACTTGGCCGTGCACCTGAAGCCGGTGTCGGTAGCCGCCGTGGTCGGGCTGATCGTGTTGACGTTCTTCGAGTTTCCTGCCTGGTGCAACGAGAGTACCGACGTTCCCTGCGACGACCACGTAAGGACCGCAAGCTTTGACACTCACGCGGTTTGCTCAGTCCGTGGACGTGTCTGGAGGTTTGGATGCGTTCTTCCGTTCGATGCCAAAAGAGCATGTTATTTAGTCCCTTCGCACAGGCATTATGCCGTATTTTCACAAGCCTTATATGTGTTGTTCCCAAGCAGGTCTTCCGGATGTTGTGCAACGAGGCTTGCAATTCAAAGATTGCAAATTTCCGGTCACCTGTTTTCGTTTTTCTTTTTCAGTTTGTTGTGGCGTCCTTAAATGTCCCGCCCCGCGGTCTCCCCCTTCCACTATGTCTCATCCTCAATAATGCACATACTAAGTAGGTTTTTGTCCACCCAGAACGTAGTCGTGGTCGTACAGTGGAGTGTCCTCAGCAAGCATTCCGTTAGTTCTCTTACATCTTTTTGTGCCAGTTCCTCGTCCTCGGTCTATCCATCGCCCTGCCTCCTCCCCCCACCCCGTGTTGTCCACACTCCCTCTCTGTCTGTCTCTGTCTTTCTCTCGCTCCATCTTTACCATTGCCGCAATATTCCCCGGGTTTGTTTGTTCCGTACTACAGGGCACGGGACACCCCTCTTCCTACCTCCCGTTTGGGTATGGGCTGTTGATCGAGGCATGTCTGCTCCTGCCCCTCTTCATTCACCAGATTGTGAATGCCTTGGCATACCGGTACGTGGGTGTTTTGTGGCACCGTGCCTCGCGAAAGATACATCCTACTCCCGGAAACCTTCCGACTTCGATATTCGATACCCCCGCAACAAGGGGGCGATATGTGCACGCGCCCTCCCAAGATAGGCCACATATGTTTGAATGGGGTCAAGTCATGCCCACAAATGTTTGGTTTTGCCTCTGGCAAGGTTTGTCGATTGTGGCGGGGACGGAAAGCGGAGATCTTGTCGATGAGAGACATACATGGAGAGCGGTCCCAACACCCATCGTTTGGTGATGGCAACCATTTTTTTGTCATCACACAGGCCTTGGAGCTTTCTGCGTCGACCGTGTTGTGTGGCGTGTTAATACGGGCGGAGGGATATCTTGAGCGGCATATGGTAAAGCAATGTCGGGAGAAAGGACAGCGAGCGAGAGATTCGTGTTCTGATTCTATTCTGCTCCAGGCAGGGTGGTTCCTACAACGATCCATCCGTGAAGCGGTCGTCTAGTTGATCGGGGGTAGGAGCTTGCCGGGTAGATACATTTTGTCGGTCGGCAATCGAACACAGGCGCATGACGTGGGTGATACCGAAGAATCGTACTACAAGTTCCGAGCCCTTCCTGTAAACAATGGGGTCAAGGACCAGAGTAGATTGGGTTTCCCCCTCCCTCCCCGCCATTTCCTTTCGCCTATCATGCTGTCTCCCTTCTTCGTCGTCGTCCAACAGAGAGTGTCCCTCCTGTTGTCTAGGCCGTATTCGTTGAATTGGCACGACAGCACTCTTTTGAGGCCAGAATGAATTGTGCTTCGTTCACTTTCGACGTGCTCGAGATAATCCCTGGTGTGGCTACGGCAGAATACGCGGAACAGCATCATTTTACTGCAACCTCCCCAACTTGTGGTTCATTATTTTTTCGTGTACTGCTGTACAATAGTGCAAGTGCCCCTTGACAGCACAGCATGATATCCTTGTCCTCGTCCTCTTGCCACTTGACCGTCTGCCGGCCTTTTCGCATCATTTTTTTACTTGTTGTCGTGCGTTTACCTCACCTTGCGATGTGCCGTGAGTTAAGGGTCAAGATGCTCTCCTTTATGCTGCTGGATTTGGCGCTGTTCTTGTACGCCCTTGATCTGCTCGTTGCGGTGGTGCACGGACAGCCGCACATTCGCATCGCTCCATGTGAGGGAACAATGTAAACGTGCTAGACACTCGCCGTGGTAGCGACCGTTGGTGAGGGGGCATCAACGATGGGCGTGAAACTAGCGACAGCAGCTCTTGGGTGCGACAGTAGCTCTTGCCACACAGTTTTATCTGAAATTCTAGGGTTGGGGGTCAGGTTACGCGTGAACAAGAGCTCACACTGTGTAACTAATGTTGCTTCGGTTACGCGTTCTCTCCCAGGTAGACATGCGTTTTCCTTGCCGTAAACATTCCTGTAACGTCCAAGTGGATGGTTTTTCTCTTCTGGTTGATCTTGAATGTCTGTACTGAAACCATCGCTGACACCTGGCTGCCCCCTAAGGCGGTTTCTTACGGTTTGAAAAATTCCAGTTGAAAAATTGAAATTTTCAATTCCCAGATCCAACTCGGGAAATCTCACTCAAACATAGAGCAGCCTTCTTACGGATCGACGGAATTGGAAACGCTAATAACAGGGGGAGGGGGGGGGGGGGGGGNACGCGAACAACTACTCCGATGCGCTGCTGCAGTCGATACTCGGTTGCGACAAGGCGACAGCCAAAAACGTGAACATCCTTCAAAACGCGGCCATCTGGTATGCGTGCTCCGTGATCAAGCGCGCGAACGGCACAGCATCCCAATAGGATACCGAGC